CGGGGCCCCCGGGGGCCCCGGGGGCCCCGGAGGCGCGGTCGCCCTCAGACGCAGCAGGGGCCCCCCCACGCACAGGGGCCCCCAGGGGGCCCCTCTCGAGGGAGGCCAGGGCCTCGAAAAGCGTCGAGATCTCCGCAATTCCCGGCAAAAAGACCAACACTGTTTCGCCTCCGTAGGCCAAAGTTGAGACTAAGTCCACGCACACCCGGTCTAGCCCTGCAGCCAGCCTCCACAAAAGCCGCAGCAGCTAGCCAGCTAGCTAGTCAAGTCTACAGCTGGCTAGCTAGCTACAGGGCTAGCTAACTCGAGAGCTAGCTGTCTACCCAGCTAACTACCTGCAGAGCTAGCGAACAGCCACAGAGCTAGCTACCTACACCAAAGGGCTAGCTAACTGCAGAGCTAGCTAGCTACCGACTTCGCTACGTATCCAGCAAGCTACTGACAGAGCTAGCAGCCTACCTGGCTGTCTAGCTGCCTATCTAGGAAGGCACCTAGCTATCTACAAAGCTAGCCAGCCACATAGCTAACCAATAACCTAGGTAACTCGGTAGCTAACTACCCGGCTAGCAACGCTAACAGAAGGCCAACTCGACTCCGGAGCTAAGCTGCAGCTGCGTTGAGTCGTGAGCTGGCTAGCTGCATCGCTAGTTTGCAGTTCAGCCGCCTAATGCCCAGGTGCTGCATTAGCTAGCTGTTACCTAGCTGGCAGCTAGCTGGTGCGTAGTTGCCAGCTAGTTGCAAGCTAGTTGCTGGCTAGCTAGCTGCCAACTAGCTGCCAGCTAGCTGCTAGCTAGCTGCCGGCTAGCTGCTAGCTGCCAGCTAGTATACAACAGCCTGCCCAAGAAAAACTACTTGCCTTTTTGAATATCGGGCTGCACGCCTGACTCCGTCGCCAAGGCCTTGGTGTCGAAAGTGCGCACTGCCTGCGGGCCACAGCCACAACAGAAGCAGCAACAGCAGCAGCATCAGCAGCATCAGCAGAAGCAGCAGCGCCCGGTAAGAGGCGGGCATGACCGTCGCTGAAGAGGCATCAGCATGTGCGGAAGCTCGCAAGAAGGGCTGCAGCTCCACAAATGTGTCTATAGAGTCCACAGGCCTTCTAAAGAGCAGAAAATTCTATCTTTTCTTAGCTGCCTAAGGCTGCAGCAGTAGCTGCTGCTGCTGCTCACCTCTGACAGGGCGTTGCGGCTGGAATAGCTGAACATCTTTGAGGCGACCACGGCCTTCCGGGCGAGCAGGGCACTGAATATGTCGGGGTCACCTCTCTGCTGCTGCTGCTGCTGCTGCTGCTGCTGCTGGGTGTCTGTCGCTGCGTCCGCATCGTCTGCGCCCTCGCCGCTGCTGCTGGCGGCGCCTGCGTCCTGCTCAGTGCGCATCCCCCCCTGCGCCTCCTGCTGCTGCTGCTGCTGCTGCTGGGCCTCTGGCTGGGGGGCCTCCTCGTCCCTGCCTTCTATGAGGAGCCCCTCGCCCGAAAGCTCTTCTACTGCGATGGGCCGCAGCGCCGGCTGCTGCTGGGGGGCCCCCAGCAAGTCATCTATATAAAGCGTTTGTACGGGAAATCTGCGGGCCCCCACGAAGATCTTATCTGGAAAGTGTCTTTGCGTTTCCCTTTCCCTCTCGAGCTCGCTGGCTGCTGCTTCCCCCGTCGCGCCCCCCTCCCCTACTGTTGCTGCAGCTGCGGCGGCGCCTGCTGCTGCTGCTGCTGCGGGCTCGCCGGCGCCCCTGC